GCCCGTGGCACCGCCTGCCGCCGCTGCCGCTCCGGCCGCAGCATCGCAGGCACACTCGCAGCACCAACAGGCGCAGCAACCCCGGCCCAACGAGTCGCCCGAGGGGTGGACGAGGGTCGGGAAGGGCGGCAAGCCGGACAGGTTCACCATGAAGAACTTCGGCCGCAACCCGCCAAAGTCGGGCAAGCGGAAGCAGGAACACCGCAAGCCCGCACCCAAGGGAGGTGGACCCCCACCCCCTTCTCCCAAGGTGGTGGACAAGAACAGGCTGAGCGCATTGGGAGCTGGCCCTTCTGGCACCAGCGGGAGCCACGAGCGCGCACCGCCGCGCTCTCCCTCCCCCACCTCGCCGCCTGCCAAATCGCCGCGGCCGTCTGCGCCTGCTTCCGGGTATGACTCCGAGCTCGAATTTTCCGACGCTGAGGCGCGGGATAGGGTGGCAGGGGTTGTGCACGACGCAGTGCAGCAGGCTGTGATGCAATATGGCTATGACGACGAGCTCTACCAGGCATGGAGGGACGGCAAGATAGGCGAAAAGGACTTGCCGGAGGAGGTGATGGCTATGACTTTGGACCTTTGCGAGAGGTGGCGAGCGGAGCAAGCGCGGTGTAGGCGCGCCCACGCGGCGCAGCGGCTCTCCCGCGACCATAGCCCCTCCCGCAGCCGCAGCCGTAGCCGCAGCCCCAACTCTTGCTGCTCTTCTAGTGTCGGGTAGTGACCAGGGGGTGAGGGGACGGATTGAAGATCCCTCACACCAAGATCGTGCAGGGCGGGGACACATGTCCCTAAATCCCATCTCGTCTCAGAGTTTGACCGTTTTTATTTATTTATTTACTAGGAGATGGGTAAAAAGGAACAGAGCGTTTGAGTTTCGTTTCAAAAATCTTTTTTTCGTGAGTAGTGGGTTGCTGTGCGAGCCCGAACCAGTAAACTTTCTTTTATCTAAGCGCCTCGCCGTCGGACGCCGTCCTCGCAGGAGTCGCTTAGGCGGCTCCCGTGGGGAGTACCTCTGTGTTAGTGGATAGTGCCAGTGCGCGCCAGTAGATAAGAGAGCAGGCATCTCTAGGAGATATGGGCACGACGCACGAACACAGCGGTCAGCGCCACCCCCCCCGGCAAAAATTCTTTTTGGTGTTAGTGCCACAGCGCGCGGCCCTGTGCTTTGGTCAGCTTTCTCTTTTGTTAGTGCCAGTGCGCGCCAGTCCCGTGCCTAGTGCTCTCGAATTCTCTTTTGCGTAAAAATCTCTTTTGTAGGAGAGGGGTCCTCCCGTCCGAGTACCGAGAGCGACTCGAATCGGCGAGGGACTGCGAAGAGAGCAATCTACATTTTCTGAAAAAGAAAACAAGGAATCGTCGCACCGGCGGCGGCGGCCGAGTTCAGCAAGCCCCAGAGCATGAGCAGCACCCGAGAGGGCGTGCTGATGGTCACTGGCCTCGAGGTGCTGGCGGTCGGGTACTGGGCCACCTCGCTCGACGACTGGCCCGCGAGCCCCGCGATGCGAGGCCTGACGATCCTCCTCCTCTGCGCAAACGCGTCCCTCAGCTTTGCCGCCGTCCGCTTCCGCAGCGAGCGCGCCGCGCTCGCAGCACTCGCCGCATACGCTGCGCTCCTGGCGTGCCTCGTGGCGGATTTTGGCGTCTCGCACCCGAACTCGGGCTGCGGCGCGGGGTCGGGCGGGGACGACACGGAGCTCGGCAAGCTGCTCGCCCAGCTGCTCTGGACGGTCGACGCCTGCCTGCTCATGTCGATCCTCGGATGGGTGACGATTGGGATCGGCTTCGCGTCGGCGGGCTGGGTCGGGCTCCTGCTGCTCGGCTTCTGGCGGCTGCTCCGTCAGGCGGGCGAGAACGACCGGGAGGTGGAGCGCGCAATCGCCTCCCTGGCGACCGGGCTCTTTCGTGGCAAGCACACGCCTCTCCCGCTGCTCGAGGGCCGAAAGCCGGCCGAGGCGACGTCGTGCGCTATCTGCCT